AGTTCTAAAAGGGTCAGTTTCAGAGAGGTATAAAGCATTAATTGTGCGGTATTTCGAGCACAAACGTCAAACACACACTCTAGGGACATTAAAGACTTAATTTACATCTTGAAAAAGGGCATAATAGTTTCCATTTACAACGTCAGGCTTTGTTTTTGCTAACCATTACTGTCCTAATCCCTCAAACTTGGCCTCAAATAGTGAGGAATTACAACTGAATTAACTTAATTATAAAAAACAAAGACTTACTAGTATTAGTGGCATGTCTAACGAAAATTAATAAAATATATATATGAAAAAGACCATAATCATAACCATTCCCAGAGATGGGTTGCAGCTTGAAGGGTATCCGCTGCATAAAAACGTGCTGGATAAGTTGGCGGTTCATTCCGCTGTGGCAACCCAGCATTAATAAAGGGACTAAGCCGAAAAGAAAATAAATGAAGGAATGAATAATCATAACCATCTGGGCTCTTCTTTTAATCAATATTGTACTAATGTGGTTTTAGGTTTGTACATTGTGTGATATTAAATAATTGACTCTTTTTATATTACTTGTGTAGATTTTTTTTTAAACATTGATGAAACTTTTTGAGCAATTGGACAAGTTTTAGGCTTAGATCTACTCTGATTCAGTCCAATAAGTGTTCATGTTTACAATATTACTAAGAATGTAAAAGTTGTGACTTCATGATACCATTTCATAGCAAACAAAAAAATCATTAAATAAATAAAAATAGATAAATAACAAAATTATATATATATATATATATATATATATATATATATATATATATATATATATATATATATATATATATATATATATATAAAGTGAGCCAAAACTTTTTGAAAATTATCGTTACTTACCTGCTAAACAAGTATTAAATGTCGATCAGATGGCAGAAGTCATGTAGTAGTTTGTGTTCAAAAGGCTGCAAATTTTTTATCATGCCTCAGAAGTTTCTATATCTATAATACAGATTTATAGGGTTAAAATTATAGATTAAGTCTGGAAATCATTGTATATTTTTCTTTAAAAATCCCTACAGTAAAGAAAAAAAAACTAGCAACACACCATAGTTTTCGTTCCTGCAGTAAACACCAACTTGCAGGTAAAAACTAAGCCCATCATTTCAGCACTCGGAACTGAATGGAGGTGTTGCCACCTGGTGGACGATTGACGTAATGACGTCACACCTACTTTCACACTAACCACGTGCCACCGAGCACTCGATATGAAAATAATATTGCACAGCAACCATTATGTTAACAGGAAAACTGGGGATATCTGTAAATTGTAACACTACAATCTCTCCATTATTGCTGCAAAGACCACATGTGGGTCACTCAAATTTAATAGCAAATAGGCTACATGCAACTATTATGAATCATTTTGGTTAGGTTATATTAGTTAATAAGACAAGCAATCGAGTAATAATACATTTATTGTATTGTATGTTCATATAAAGACATTCATTGTTAATTATGTTAACTTACAGTGGATTACCGGTAACTAAGCCTGAATTTGGATTTGAATAATGCAGATGCTGAATATGTTTATTAATAGCCTAAATGCTGTACAAGTTTTGATCATACTTGTTAGTAAGGCAAGTTTATGTATATAGCACATTTTATACACGATTGTAATTCAAAGTGCCTTGCACAAGATCCATAACATGCGAGCATAAGAAATAAAAACAACCAATTAAAATGATTAAAAACATAAAACATTAAATTTAAAAATCGCAAACATACAATCCATTGTTTTTTAATAAAGCATCTGTAAATACACTCACCGGCCACTTTATTAGGTACACCTATCCAACTGCTTGTTAACGCATATTTCTAATCAGCCAATCGCATGGCAGCAACTCAAAGCATTTAGTCATGTAGACATGGTCAAGACGATCTGCTGCAGTTCAAAGCGAGCGTCAGAATGAGGAAGAAAGGGGATTTAAGTGACTTTGAACGTGCCATGGTTGTTGGTGCCAGACGGGCTGCTCTGAGTATTTCAGAAACTGCTAATCTACTGGGATTGTCACGCACAACCATCTCTAGGGTTTACAGAAAAATAGAAAATATCCAGAAAGCGGCCTTGCTGATGCCAGAAGTCAGAGAACAATGCAAGACTGCTTTCTTGAACATGACAGTTCACTGTACTCAAATGGCCTCCACAGTCACCAGAACTTAATCCAATAGAGCACCTTCGGGGTGTGGTGAAATTGGCATCATGAATGTGCAGCCGACAAATCTGCAGCGACTGTGTGATGCTATCATGTCAATATGGAGCAAAATCTCTGAGGAATATTTCCAGTAGCTTGTTGAATCTATTCCATGAGGGATTAAAACAGTTCTGACAAAAGAGGTCCAACCTGGTACTAGTAACATGTACTTAATAAAGTGGCCGGCGAGTGTATATTAACTAATAAAATGTGTCCATTTCATTAACATCTTGAACACACTACTTAAAATATTGCAAAGATATAGACAGAAATGTTAACAATTATTAACAGACAAACACAATATAATGTGATCCTGTTCAGTCAGATGTTTTCTTTTGTCCATCTGTTTCCAAGGATACAGGAATGTGCTCATCTTTTCCCATCTTTCACACACACACACACACACACACACACACACACACACACACACACACACACACACACACCTTTAAATAAATCACTGATTCATTCATATAGGAATATATATATATATATATATATAAGCTGGAATGTGGCTCGCAGGCTGTAAATGGTATACATTATTGATTAATCAACTGATTATTTAACTGTATTTTGCTCAGTATCTCAGTGTGTCTGTGTTTTTTTTCTCTCCCTGCAGGGCTGTTTCCTCTCTGCTGCTGACTGGACATCTTTATAATGATACTACAGCTCGTTCCTGTGCTTGTGTCTGGAATTTCTAACAGCAGAATACAGAGAAACACCCGTTTTCACAGTTACACCCACTTACTTCCGGCTTTACTCTGCGTAATGTCAACACTTCATCTGGGTTATGGAGACCCTGCTGAAAGACCTAGGCTGGTTTTAAGCTGGTCGACCAGCCTGGTTTAGAGGGGTTTTGGCCAATTCCATGCTGGTTCCCACATTTCAGCCTGGTCTAAGCTGGAAAATGACCAGCTATTTCCAGCAAAAACCAGATTGGTTTAAGCTGGACATAGCTGGTTTTGGCTGGTCTCCCATCCTGGCTAGGCTGGTCAAGCTGGTTTTAGCTCATCTCCCAGCCTGACCAGCTATTACAACTATTCTAGCATATGTTTTACACAGTGGATGCCCTTCCAGCTGCAACCCAGTACAGGGAGTGTCTTTAAAAATGCTAAATAAAGCCTCATTTATCAGTGAAGTGGTGAATAAATGGACATTGCTGTAGATAACTATGCTTATTTAAGGGGCTTATCGGTGTTCAGGAATGTAAAGCAGGTTCTATTCATGTAAAATGAGTTGGCATAGACAACTATTAACAGGTTCCTTTTGTTTTCTTATATGTGTAAATAGGAAGTATTCAGTGAATGATTCGGCCTATCAGGCAGCCATTACTAGAGTTGATGGTGCGTAACGATGAGCTCATTATTTAAATGACTGTCTGACTCAAGCTTTTTTTTCACAACCCCAAATTAGAAAAAGCTGGGATACTATGGAAAACGCAAAAAATAAATAAATAAATAAATAAATAAAGTAGTGATTTCTAAATTTGCTTTGATGTGTATTTCATTACAGACAATACAACAAACATTATTTAATGTGTTCCTCATCATTATTATTGTGTTTTCCAATTTTCAAAAAAGTAAGGACAGTAAAGCATTTACCACTTTGTAATGTTGCCAATCCTTTTCACAACACTTAAAATACATTTAGGGACTGAAGACACCAAGTGATGAAGTGTTCCAGGTGTAATTGTCTCCCATTCTTCCTGTAAACAAGTCTTAAGGCGGGCAACAGTACAGGTTATTCGTGCAAAATGCGCCACTCTTACTCAATTGGGGACAGGTCGGGACTGCAGTGACAACTTTTTTTTTTGATTTGAGGTTTTAAGTAATATGATTAAGTGGTTTCCAGTAACATACACCACTGTAATTTCAACAAGATGCAAAAAAGGTCTGAGAAAGGTTAGGTGTAGTTAAAGTTAACGCTGACGTGATGTTGCATTTTGACCGTCACACATGCTAAAAATGTATGTAATGAGTACTGTCATCATTTAAATGCAGTAAATGGCTAAACATTTTTGAACTTGAAGTTATAAAAACTGTTTGTTTTTTTTCCATTTTTGAACCAAATCGCAAAACTGTCTTATGGTGCAACTGTTTTGAGCATAGTTCAACAAATTACAGCTTAAAAATAAAATAAATTCCTCAGGGCTAATTTTACAAAGTAATCTTTTCATCCTTATATTTCTAAAAACATTGAACTTGATTTTGTCACAAAAAACATGTCCTATGGTGTGACCTTAAATGCTCATTTTAATTAGGGCAAATCAACTGAAAAGTTCAAGTATTTCACAATAATGTTTTTTTATGACCTTTGGAGCCCATATTTATTGGAAATGTCCAACAAGTCATGGAGAAAAAAATATTAATAATTTGAAATAAAATAAATATATAAAGATAAGTGTCCAACAATAAAGACAACCTATAATCACGCTATTTATATATCATTAAGAGTATTTTTTCTTGATGTTTGTCACACCATAGGACATATTTAAGGTACAGTTAAGTAAAAATAAAAATAAATCAAAAACCATGAACAAATTGATTTAGTTAATGAACTCTTATATTTTCTCAAACATCAGACTTTAAAACTACAACACTCTTTTACAAAAAGAAACTACTTAATGTAATGTACTTTTAATCATCCCGCATGAACAGCATGCAACCACTTTCACTTCTGATACAATTATTTGTCTAATTGTTGATTAATAGTTGCATAAATGATTTGATAGTGGATAGTTGATAGAGACAAAGTTGATAGAGGATATAGCAAAGCTTCATTTCCAATATTTTATTTCTCAACAATATAAGAAACAACAACAAAAAAATAAAACAGCTGTAGTGCAAGTTTCAGCATTATATAAATGTCTCTGAAGAAAAGCCTCTGTGAATCTTTAAGCAGCTCTTCCACCCGTCACATGTTCTACTCATCGTCAGACTCGTCAGATTCGCACAGTATATTAGTGTAGTAGTAATGCATCATCTAAAAAAAATACAGGAAAACTTACTTTACTTATTATGCATAAACACGAACAGTATATCTACTTAATATCTGTACACACCAACACACACAAACAAAATAAATACACATGTAAAGTCAGAAGAATAACAAAATGATTAGGCTACCGTTAAGCCCTAACTACACTTGATGTTCGGATGCAACTTTACAGTCTTTTATGTTCAATTTAATTCAGTTTGTTAGGTTAATTAAATGGATTTGTGTTGTGACGACAGTTTATTATAATTATATCATGAGAAATATTCGCATGTTCGTTCATCCACTATTATTATCAAATACTACACACACAAACACAAATCATCAAAAGAGTCAAATAATTTCACATGCAACATCAGAAGATTATGCTTAATCTTTAATTATAGACGCTTAAGATGCTACTTTAAACAACTTAATTAAAATACATATGAAAAAAAAAAAAGAATACAGATAAAAAGGTTCGAACACCAAAACCGGTCATCATTACAGTTAATTTTACTCATTAGGCTGTTTTTGTTATCAACAAACTTTTAAAATGTACTTTTCGTTTACAAAAGAGACAAAAAAATTGTGAAGCTCTACATTATTATCATTATTTAATTGTGTTATTCAGATGGCGAAATTTCTGACTGAGAAAAGTTTAATGTGGGCCGGTATAAGATTCTGATGGTATGATAACCTTGGATAAAAATATCACAGTATTGTAATTATTACTGCTCTAAAACATGTTCTTTTTCAAGTGCTTTTTAGGTAAAAAACAAAATCTTTTCTCCCCTTTGAAAACAATATATTTGATATATTTTTAAAGATTTCTAATATTTTGGAACAGTAAACATGTCAGGCTAAATAATTCAAATAAATCAGTGACTTCTGCTGTCTTTATTTGCTTCAAAAACACAGATTTCTTTACAATTTAAAATGCATCTTTAGATATTTCTTTACTCTGGATATACTGTTATCCCAAAAAACAAACAAAAAATGTAAAAAAAAATCTTGCACATATGATAACCGTATCACGCAAAATTTTGGCAGTTTTAAAACCTTGACCTTTTTTCAAACCGTGGTATACCTTGAAAACGATTATTGACCCATGCCTAGTGCTGACCAGTTTGATATTTGCCCAATAAATGACAATTTTTTATATTATTTTATTTAAAACTTTAACAGACTCTTTTTTTATAACGATATACGATGTAATAAATTTGTATTTTTTTAAAATAACACTTTTTTCCACATTTCTTTATTCAAAATATTTGGAAAGTGCTTTTGGTACATTATCTCAAAAAGTGTGGTTATGATGACCACCATACGACAAGCTAATCAAGTAAAAAAAGAGCCTAAAATGTCACTAAAATGCAGTATTTACATTTATAATTCAATAAAAAAATAGCCGAATAACTGCAAAAAGGTCTAGTTTTTGGGGAAAAAATGACCACACATTTCAGCAGGCTGGCTACAGTACTGTCTATATGATTTCTTATACAATAAATGGTTTAAAATATTGATATTTCAATAAAAGTCACTTTAATAAACTTTAAAACTGAATTTTCAACACCTGAAGAGAACAAAACAGAAATCATGGACCCAAAATGCAATTAATAATAACCATAAAGACACAGAAAACATCTATCACAAAACACAGAAACTGTCAACTATATATATTTTACAGTGTATATCTGTTCAATCTATGTTTTTAACAGTCTATAACACATATCTACAGTAAGAATAGTCGTAATATTACCATGTTCATCCACTCTTGGCGTTTCCGCTGTCGTTCTAACCGTCTTTCTCGTCGCTCTATCGCGCGTTTGCGTCTTGCCGCCAAAATGAGTTTCCGTCGAAATCGCCGCCGAGCCATAATCTCCTCATCCAGATGTCTTTGTCTCGCCCTCCACCAACAGCACACCAACAGCAGCAATAAAACAGCTTCGGTTGTCTCCATCTTAATCGTTTCGCATAGTTTGCTTTACCCGTGTGATTCTGCTTTGTCTTTGTTTGTTCTTCCCGCTGAACTCGGCGATTTGTGATGTTTGGGGTGTGCTTTGGGCGGAGTTTCTGCATTTAGACCACGCCCACATTTACCAAACGGTAAAGTCTAGATCGGAAATGCGGCCGGCCGAAAGTGCGATATGCACATTAATAAAGCAGCATTTTTATGACACTGTAAAACAATAATTAATATTTTTATATTACTGTGACGGTTGGGTTTAGGGTTGGGGTGGGAGTAGGCGTTAAAAATACAATTTATAGGGTAATTGAATAGATAACGTAAATAATACTCGGTACAACAACTGATTTTACATTACTGTGACATTGTGGGTTGTATTTCTATAATAAATTTAAGAAATAATTTTTAATAACTTCCCGAAGAAAACGTATCCGATCTAGCAACAACCGATCCAAACCACCTAAATAATATTTCACACAAACTTTTTAAAGCGTACAGTGTTGTGAGGAAAATGACATTGATACTGTGCGACAGCTATATTTTGTATAAAAAAATATTGATAATAGTCTCACATTAATAAATATAAAATATTCAAATTATTTCACTAGTGCTTCCTTAAGATACATTAACAGATACCAGATAAATAATATTTTAAAATGTTGTTGAAGTTTAAAACTCTGGGTGAGCGACAAGGTGAAAACTGTGATTTTGACACCTAAAAGGAAAAATATATAATAGAAAGCTAGTAAAAAAATTCAAAGTAGGTTTTATTATTAGTTTTACAAAGAAAACTATATATATATTTTTGGATATATGATCAAAGGACATAAAAGTGCCCGTCATTGAATTACCATGTTTGTACGTGCAATTTTTAGTGTGTTTCTTCCCGAACTGCCTCTCATAAACAGTACCTCAATCATAAGCAGCCTACTGGGTTTTGTTTGTGGTCCACATCTGTATTGCGAGAGTTGTCATGCGCATGTCCGCGGTGTGGCAGCAGCTCAGACTCAAACTCAGCTCTCTCTCAGTGAACTCACATCTGCTCAGGATCTGCTGCAGACGATGTTTACTGTGATTTTACTCCATGATTTCACCGAAGATGGTCGCGGCACACACCTCCAGCCACCCGTCTGCATCTGCTGACTGGATCGTCTGTCTGGATAAGAGGTACCATCGCCGTTCACCCTTCAAAAACTTAACTCTGCACCTCCACATGCTGTATGACGCCGTTCTGGTCCACCTTCGGGGGTCATTACCCGGTGAAAACACATCAGAAACGCAATTGGCTTGTAGATATAAGAATACAGCATAAGTTTCATGTCATGAATGTCAGATATGCGATTGTCAGAGAGATTGTTTGTGTTCAGACGCAGCTTTTATTGTCAGCTCGGCAGGTTTCGGATGATGCATGAATTCAGTATTATGTATTCTCTGCTTCAGCTGTTGAATTTCTGTGAATATTATAGTAGAGTGTAGTTTGGAAAGGGTTGTTTGTCACCTGGAGGAGGTCACCAGTGCTGCAGTGCTTGTGTTACTGCAGACACTTTCTGCTGTCAAGGGCTTTACTATAGCGGAGACCAAACTTAAAGGGATAGTTCACTCAAAAAGGGAAAAATCTGTCATAAATGACTCAACTTTCTCTTCTCACAAACATTAATGAGGTAAAATTGGTTTTATTTTTGCCCATTTGTTAATTTTTAAACTGTAACTATATTGTTTACTATACTACTTTGAATATTGGATGTAGATGTGACTTAAAAACAACATTAGCACTTTTAACTAACTGCGAACAATGCTGTATTTTGGTAGTCATTGGCTACTAATATGATTTCTCTATTTAGAATTTGCAAAGAATACTTTTCGGAAATTATATTATTAAGGAAAAGTTAGAATGTGCGACCGGCCACTTTATTAGGTACACCCTACTACCCCCCCTTTCGCCTTCAGATCTGCCTTAATCCTTTATGGCATAGATTCAACAAGGTACTGGAAATACTCCTCAGAGATTTTGCTCCATATTGACATGATAGCATCACACAGTTCCTGTAGATTTGTTAGCTGCACATCCACATCCCAAAGGTGCTCTATTGTATTGAGATCTGGTGACTGTGGTGACCATTTGAGTACAGTGAACTCATTAGCTATGTTTCCAACCACCTATTTTATGCGCATTTTGCAAATGCGCTTAAAAAAAAACAGTTGATGGAAATGCCATGATGCGCATACATTTTGAAAATGCGCATAAAAAACGTATGCGCCTAACTGGGGAGGATAAACTTTTTATTCGATTAGAAAAGATGTGCGTAAACTGCGATGGAAACACTTTTACCGCACAAACTCCAGCATGCGCATTAAAAAAGGTCATGTGATTTTGTTGAAAGAGATCATGTGATGCTTAAAATGTGTGTGAATGGACAAAACTTCAGGCTGAGCACATTATAAAACACCTGAAATGTTGTGCAGGAGTGGCACCCGGTGTGGTCTTCTGCTGCTGTAGCCCATCCGCCTTAAGGTTGGACGTGTTGTGCATTCAGAGTGTCAGCAGTTTCTGAAATACTCAGACCAGCCCGTCTGGCACCAACAACCATGCCACGTTCAAAGTCACTTAAATCACCTTTCTACCCCATTCTGATGCTCGGTTTGAACTGCAGCAGATCATCTTGAACACATGCCTAAATGCATTGAATTGCTGCCATGTGATTGGCTGATGCGTCATCAAGCAGTTGGACTGGAAGGTATGTCAAGGGTTCTTCAAGACGAAAATATTGAGATAAGCACGTGATCCTCTCAAAATTTGTTTAGAAATAAACTTCACAAAGAGTAAGCATTTTTTTTTTAGAAAATAATAATCTTTTACATTTTAATCTTTAATGTTTTTATTATTTAAATGTATTTCTGTGCTACTGTGCATCCATGTGTGTGTAATAAACAATGCGTATGCACATTTTAGAGACCTGCGTGTGACAGCTTTATCAGTCCTGTTCTCACTATATTCTGTTCCATTCCTTCCAGCTCCCCCAAAAATACATATTATTTTCTCATCCTCCATGAAGACATTTTATACATTTTCTTCTGTAAATATGTCAAAACTTAACTTGTGATTAATAATAGGCATTGCTAAGAATACATTTGGACACCTTAATTGTGATTTTCTCAGTTTTCAACCTTCAGATTCCAGATTTTAATAGTTGTATCTTGTCGAAATATGGTCATATCCTACCTAACCTTATATGGATGCAAAGCTAATTCATTCACGATCTCAATTTTCCAAAATGGACTGGTTTTGAGGTCCAGGGTCACATTTTACACTTTGTAACACCAGCAGTACTGTGAGTCTCTGCCCACGATAGAAACAGCATATCTAGTATATATCCAACATTACAGAGCAGTTAACAAACATTACAGTCTCTTTATCAAACGTGGACAGAGATTTGTGCTTAATGTGTTTATGACACTCTCTAATGGGCTCAGACCTGCTCTTCCTGCAACCAACGGCTCCGTCTCTCTGTAAGATCAATATTTACACATCTAGCACAGATGGACAGAGCTCTGCTGGAAAGTGTAAATGTGGCAGCACAAATCTCTCCCCATTTCTAGCTTTATCTCCTGATATTGTTTTGATGGAGCGATGAATGCATTACAGAAACAACCAGATGTCCCGACTGGAGCTGTGTTTGATTTGTGCTGCAGTGGTTTGGGTCTACCACTTCCATCACAACATATTGATTGCTGTTTGAATTATATCAATGTCATAAATTTAAACTGTTGAGGCTGAAAGTAGTTGAGTGTTTAAAGGAGCACTCCACTTTTTTTTTTTGTAAACAGGTTATTTTTACAACACCTCTAGAGTTAAATTCAATCCAGGCTCATTCTGATTACGTACCCCTATATACATTTGTGGAGAGTGCCAAATACGTCCCAGGAGCTACGTTTTTTTTGCTGTTTTTGTTTTCAGTAATCCACAAGAGGCCGCTGTGTATGCTTTTTCAGATCTTAAATTTCTCCCACGAGTGCCTTTCGTGCCTGCTGTTCTCATGTAAATCCAGCAGAGGCCACTGTCGACTGACCCACCCTCCTTCTTCCCAAAACCCAACTAATAGTGTTTTAAAAAGCACTGATTGACCCACCCATCCCCTTGTATATACCCAACCGCAGTGTTTTAAAAGCAATCCAGAAAAAGAAAAGCCCTCACTTGATTGGTTTTCAGATTTTACCACATTCTCACCCTGTTATTTACTTGCTTTTAAAATTTTTTGGCTTTTGTCTTACCTGATTTCTGGAACCGTTCTTCACTAGACTCAAACCCCGTTGTCGCAATCAACTCCGCTCTGCATCTCAATTCTGCCATCGTACGTGTCGAGCTACCGGACAAACTGGTAACAGTGGAAAAGCCATCCATACTGAGGTAAGTGGTCAGCTGGTAAGCAAGAAATACCGCCTTGTAGCATTTGATTTAAAGACGAAATGCAGCCATACGTCCCTCTGGCTACATAATTCGCGACCTCCAGAAACGTATATAGGGTTACATTTTCAGAATGAGCCTGTGTTGCTTAAATTGTTGGGTCCCACTTTATATTAAGTGTCCTTAACTACTATGTACCTGCATCAAAAAATAAATACAATGTACTTACTGTGTTCATAATGTATTTGAGAACACTTGTGGAGCTTTTGAGTTGGGATAGGGGTTGGGTTATGAACAGGTTTGGTGGTATGGGTAGGTTTAAGGGTGGGTTAAGGTTTAAGGGATGGTCAACAGTGTATTTACAAATGTAATTACAAAAGTTAATTAAAGATGTAGTTACATACATGTATTTAATCAAGCATAAGTACACAGTAAATACATGTATTTACACAATAAGTACATTGTAACAAACTATTAATTACTGTGTAAGTACTTATTAGTTAAGGCCACTTAATATAAAGTGGGACCAATTGTTGAATTTGACCTTTTTTAAATTGATTCAGCTGAACTCCAGGTCTGGCGGGAGCACTTTTAGCTTAGCTTAGCATAGATAATTGAATTGGGTTAGACCATTAGGATCTCGTAAAAAAAATGTAAAAAAAAAATTCTTAAAGCAATTTGAAATTTAAAAAGGCGTACACAGCAGCCTCTGGTGGATTCGCAAAAACAAAAACTGCTAAAAAACGTAGCTCCTGGGGTGATTTGGCGCTCTCCAGAAATGTATATAGAGGTACGTAATCAGAATGAGCCTGGATTGGTTGTTTCAGTATGCAAACATAAGCACTGAGTACAAATGTCCACATGAAATAACAGAAATACTACTCGCATCCGTGTCCAGTGTTTTTCCAAATGAAATCCTTTGGCTTAAAGGAGTCTGTCATGTTGATAGTGTTCTTTAGCTTTTGGTGTAAAACTGTTTGCACAGTAAATGGGTTTTGGTCCCTGTTAAACGGCCTCTTTTGCTCACATCTACAGTTTACTGTTTGCACAGGTGCGTCTGACCCCTGAGTGCAGCTTAGCACAAAGAAGACATCTGTATTGTTTTCATTTTAAAGGTGCCATAGAATGCATTGATACATTGAGCTCTGTTTTAACGATCTAAGAGAGGTCTAAATCACTCAGCGCAGATGCACTTAGAGCATGTCCAAATTCCCTTTTGCTGTTTTAGGGACAGAAAAAACAGTCGACACATGGTGTAAAAGGGTTGTCCTTTAACTCTTAATGAGTTATGGGTGTTTTTTGGGCGTAAAGTGCATTAGACCAGTTAGAATCTCATCTCCCATTCCCTTCATGAGTGAGTTGTCGTTGTGTCATGGTGCATTCACTATTAACATGGCAGACTTTGTGAACACTTTACTAGCGAGGAAATGGATACGCTCATGTGGAAGGTTAATGCAAGCAAACCATTTAATGAACGAGCCGGATTCACTAAAACCCAATGAGGTAAAGAAGGCTTTGCAGGGGATAGCGTTTTTGTAAACAATAGCAATCTTTTACGTTTTAATCTTAAGTTTTTTTTTAATATTTAAAGACTTTTCCGTGCTGCTGCGCACCCCTCTGTGTGTAATAAGCAATGTGTATAGACGTTTTGCAGCATACACTAATATAGAGATCTGTTTGGGACAGATTTTTCAGTCACGATCCTAATATAATATAATATATATTATTTGCAACGCGGGGAAGCGATCACAAATTGAGGAGCGGGGAAAGGGGGCGGGGTGGAGCGACAACGCGGGGAAGCCTTCACAAACTGAGGAGTGATCTCAAACTGAAAGCTGCGAGAGCGTCAAAGTAGCCGGAAGTCATTCATTTTCAATGAGAACAGGCGGTGAGGAACAGCGCGGCGCGTCTTCTCCTGTGTGGGCGTCAAGGAGAGTTGAAATCAAGTCAACTGTATGGTAATGAGCTATGATGAGGTTCGGCGGCAAACAATCAGAATGAAGTAGTCCACCGCTTGAGAGGAGTTCAGAGAAGACAGACCTGTGTTCTTTGGTTCAGACCACAGTTGTTCCCAGGGGTTTGATAATTGCGGTTGCCGGATTTCCAATTATTGAAAATCACGACGACGATGACGCGGAGCCCCCTAATCACGCTGAGCCACCCTGTGGTGCGTGCCCTGTGGGCCCGTCCACTACGCCCCTGGCTAAGTGTGAACTCTTGAAATAGCTGATTAAGTTTTTAAAACATTTGCTTAAATATTCGTAAACAACAAACTAAAAGTTCAAATATTACATAATTAAGGCACACAACGTCATAAGTCGTTAATATTAGGTTAGATATAGGTCGTGCTGTCTGGTGACCAAAATGTCTAGCCAGCGTCTAAGGACAATGTTATTTTGACCTTCAATAATGTTGTCAAATGACTATGATACTTGGTTGATTTTAGGTTGGAAAGTAACCAAAATCCAACATCTTAAACCAACTTCATATTGACGTCAAATACTGACATTTACTCGCCAGGTATGACAACCAACATACAACCAACGTCATATTGGTAACGTTCACACAATGTCAAGCTGTAACATCATTGATATTTGGTTGATTTTAGGTTGGACGTTGACGTCGGCCTGATGTTGGGTTCTGACATTAACCCGATTTTCATTTCCAAACAAAATGCAACGTCTCCATGATGTTGGGTTACAACGTCAATCTGACATCATGTTGACATCCTGTGCCTGCTGGGCAATGACAATATTCATTCATTCATTTTCCTGTCAGCTTAGTACCTTTATCACTCGGGGGTCGCCACAGCAGAATGAACCGCCAACTTATCCAGCAAGTTTTTACGCAGCGGATGCCCTTCCAGCCACAACCCATCTCTGGGAAACATCCACACACACTCATACGCTACGGACAATTTAGCCTACCCATTTCATCTGTACCGCATGTCTTCTGACTGTGGGGGAAACTGGAGCTCCCAGAGGAAACCCACGCAAACGCAGGGAGAACATGCAAACTCCAAACAGAAACGCAAACTGAGCCGAGGCTCGAACCAGCGACCTTCTTGCTGTGAGGCGAACGTGCTACCCACTGCGCCACCAATGACAATATTGCATATGTTTATTATTATGATGTGTTGAATTATTGAAAATGGCTAGGCTGAATTGAAAAGACTGAGAATTTTCTTTTTTTTATTATTATTTTTTACTGAGCATTTTAGATTTTTTAAATAATTTTTTTAGGGGTTTTCACCTTTAATGATAAGAGGAAGGATCGGCAAAGGACCTCAAACCGGGAATCGAACTCGGGTCACCGTGAGCACCTTGGTGCTGCATGTCAACGCACTAACCACTAGGCTACTGGTGCTGACACATTTAAGATTTTGAACTATATATACAACAAAGTCTAACATGCATTCAACAGAAAGGTCAAATATAATAAAACAGTAATAGTTCAACATTAGCCGGCAGCTAGCTTTCTGCAACTCTCACATGGTCACCCACTGAAGCTAAGCAGAGGTGCACCTGGATGGGAGACCACATGGGAAAGGTAGGTTGCTGCTGGAATTGGTGTTAGTGAGACCAGCAGAGGGGGCGTGACCTGCGGTCTGTGTGGGTCCTAATGCCCCAGTATAGTGAAGGGGACTCTATACTGCTCAGTGAGCACCATCATTCAGATGATATGTTAAACTGAGCTCTCTGTGGTCGTTAAAAATTCTTGTTGTCCTTCGAAAAAATGTAGGGGTTTAACCCTGGTGTCCTGGCTAAATTTGCCCACTGGACTTTGTCCATCATTGCCTCCTAACCATCCCCATACCACAATTGGCTTCCTCACTCTGTCTCCTCTCCACCAATCAGTCTAGTGCAACATGGCTGCCGTTGTGTCATCCAGGTGGACGCTGCACACTTGTGGTGGATGAGGAGATTCCCCCCAAAAATGTGTGTACAGCGCTATATAAATGTAAGGAATGAATATTATAATTATAAAAGGGTACAAAAATCAGGATTGAAATATATCTGATACAGTCTTTCTCATGTCTGACCATTTTTTTCATTTTGGCAGTAGGCAGAGTTTCCAAAAGAGATCAACTGGAGCAGATGGATCCAGGATGAGAATGTTCTTTTCTGACTTCGCTGACATTGCATTTGGGTTTATTTGTATGTGTTTGTATGTGTGTGTGTGTTTGTAGACCAGAGGAGCGTTCAGGGGAAGACGTGGACATAATCATGGTGCGTCTGAAAAGTGTGAAGGCCTTCGAGAAGTTCCACCCACCTCTTCTTCAGCAGATCTGTCTGTGCGGCTTTTATGAATGTCTGGAGAAAGGCATCACTCGTGAGTCAAACACACTGACACTATTACTTCATTACACTGTCAGTCACACAAGGCTGCATTCAAGGGTGCTTTCACACCTACACTTTTGTTTCGGAACGTATCTCGTTTGCCCAGTTAGCGCGGTTCGTTTGGCATATGTGAACAGGGCAATCGCGCTCTGTTCCGCGCCAAAGTAATCGCTCCGAGATCGCTTAAATGAGGTGGTCTCGGCTCGATTGAAACGAACCCTGGAGCGGTTCGATTGCAGTGAGAAAGCGATCCGATCCGAGCGCGGTCATATCACACTGTTTTATGGATATGTAATAGGCTTACGGCTATATGAAGAGAGAATTATGAGTAGGGCGGGAAGTTTCGCGAGTCTCCGGATGCCCGCAAACGAGTGATGATCTCCCGGTAATCTCGCGTCTCCCTCCAGGCCCTCAAATAGGCATCGTCGTGCACCCTTCTCACCCCTCCCCACCGCGTCTCTCCTCAGACGTCGCGCGCACCCTGTCAATCACCACCAAACCACCACCTCTCCTGACAGCTGAGCAGGACGCTGCAAAATAAACCCTGACACTCTGACCAATGTGAGGAGAGTGACTTGTTTTGTTGTCTCACACGTGACTTGTTTTAGCTCTTTTGGTCCGTTTAGAAACTTTGCCGTGTGAAAGCGAACCGCTCCAAGAGCAAAGAGCAACAATGTAACATTTGTAATCTCTGTTTCGGAACAACTGAATCGATTCACAGGTGTGAAAGCAGTCTCTGATTGGTTTGTTTGGAGCCATTCATGCCACCCACTCCGCCACCATGACACTTTTTCTTATTATTGTATTAGAATTGTTCTGGGTTTGTAAATGTGAAGTAAATGTTTGGTTAAAAATCTGTGTGTGTGTGTGTGTGTGTTAGTGTACAGGCAGGGTGACATCGGCACTAACTGGTACACCGTCCTGTCCGGTTCTCTAGACGTCAAAGTCTCCGAAACAGCAAACCATCAGGTACATTATCATTCAAATCCTGTCTACACCAAATTCGACATCAGAAAAAGTGTACACAGCGACCCCTGGTGGATTAACATGAGAACAACAGGTGCGAAGGGCACTTGCTAGAGAAATCCGGAGCTCCTTCACGGGACTCCACACTTGTAAACAGTCGATCGTGCGACTCTCGGTCCCGCTCAGACTCGTCAGCGCTACCAAGCCGACCAATCACAGAGCTTGCGCTACGGGTTGTTGCGACGTGTAGGTACATTTTTTTAGAGGTGCACGTCAGTGACGGCGACGGCCACAGCGAAGGGCTATGCGTCAGCGCCGTAGCATACATCGGCGTTTGACGCAGAAGTATAAATCAGCCTTTAGAATCAAAGGCCTTTGCTTGATTCATGGTTACGGACGAATTACTGGGCGCGAATTACGGGGGTGGTGGGTTTTGGGGGTCTGGAAATAGGTAAAAATATGTGTTTTTTTAATCTACATATAGGCTAATGTAAAATGAAACTCATATATTATATGAAACTCATATAACATATGTTAGTGCGAACATGTGTGCGTATGTGAGTGGATGCGTACATGCTTATGTCTGTGTGTGTGTGCCTGTGTGTGAGTGACATTGCTTCTGCCTTAAAATAAAGGTCTGACTCTGGCATGTCTCAGTGAGGATGTCAGTATCAGTCGGCTGCTCCTCAGACTCTCCTGCTCTTGGATTGACTCTGTCCTGTGTGTCTGTTCCTCCTCATGTGAAGGATGCGGTCACCATCTGCACGCTGGGCATCGGCACTGCTTTTGGAGAGTCTATCCTGGATAACACACCCCGCCATGCCACCATCGTCACCCGAGAGTTCAGCGAGCTGCTGCGGATCGAGCAGAAGGACTTCAGGAACCTGTGGGAGGTACAGCGCTCCATCACAATATACTAATAATTGTAAAGTATTGGATTACAAATAGAAGTCACGGTTCCACCACATCCCAAAGGTGCTCTATTGGATTGAGATCTGGTGACTGTGGAGGTCATTTGAGTACAGTGAACTCATTATCATGTTCAAGAAACCAGTCTGAGGTGATTCACGCTTTATAACATGGTGCGTTATCCTGGTGGAAGTAGCCATCAGAAGATGGAGACACTGTGCTCATAAAGGGATGGACATGGTCAGCAACAATACTCAGGTAGGCTGTGGCGTTGACACGATGCTCAATTGGAACTAATGGACCCAAAGTGTGCCAAGAAAATCTCCCCCACACCACCACACCACCACCACCAGCCTGAACCGTTGATACAAGGCAGGATGGATCCATGCTTTTATGTTGTTGATGCCAAATTCTGACCCGACCATCCGAATGAAGCAGCAGAAATGGAGACTCATCAGAGCAGGCAACGTTTCTCCAATCTTCTATTGTCCAGTTTTGGTGAGTCTGTGTGAATTGTAGCCTCAGTTTCCTGTTCTTAGCTGACAGGAGTGGCACCCGGTGTGGTCTTCTGCTGCTGTAGCCCATCTGCCTCAAGGTTGGCCGTGTTGTGTGTTCAGAGATGCTCTTCTCTCGGTTGTAATGAGTGCTTATTTGAGTTACTGTTGCCTTTCTGTCAGCTGGAACCAGTCTGGCCATTCTCCTCTGACCTTTGGTATTAACAAGGCATTTGCGCCCTCAAAACTGCCACTCACTGAATATTTTCTCTTTTTCAGACCATTCTCTGTAAATCCTAGAGATGGTTGTGCGTAAAAATCCCAGTAGATCAGCAGTTTCTGAAATACTCAGACCAGCCCATCTGGCACCAACAACCATGGCACGTTCAAAGTCACTTAAGTCGCCTTTCTTCCCCATTCTGATGCTCAGTTTGAACTGCAGCAGATCATCTTGACCATGTGCACATGCCTAAATGCATTGAGTAGCTGCTATGTGTTTGGCTGATCAGAAATTTGCGTTAACAAGCAGTTGGAGAGGTGTACCTAATAAAGTGGCCGGTGAGTGTATATACCAATAAAAGTCTAATCTCAGTAGATACAGTCAAGTAACCTTTTATTATATTGATCACAAATGGTAAAATTATAATATATATCAGTATGGTTTTTATTTTATTTAGTTTTATTATTTTTTTTGAGAGATCTATGATATTGAACTGAAAAAAAACGTATGTGTAAGAATTGATGGAAAGATTTGATCCATACAAGTTGCAAGCTACAAACCCGAATAAATAGGGATGTGTATTCAAGGGAAATGACTGTAAAATGTAGGATGGACGGATGTTTCGCTTCATACACATCTGAATGGCACGCTTGACCATCTGTACGTTCCAGAACTTCTGCAAAAGCCTGACAGATGTGTTTGCTCTATCAGCTTCAGCCAGCAGAGGGCGGTGGAGGAATAAGACAAATCCCGCTTTCCTCGTGCTCTATTGATCCATCTAGTGGTCTAGAGCAGTGGTTCCCAACCTTTTTCTTTGGTGCCCCCCCAAATGAACATATACAAACATTGGAGCCCCCCCACCATATAAATACACACGCACGCACACACATATGTACTGTGTATATATGTATATACTATGTATGTATATGTATATCTTTTTCTTCGCCTCTGAAGAATCACTGCATTTACGTTGTGTCTGCCATTTTTGTTTTGGTTTTGCCTTTACAACACGTTGACAAGCACATTGTGTGAGTGAGCAAAATTTAAATAATTATTTAAAGTTATTTATTTTAATTATTTTTACTATTATGTTGGAATTTTAAGCATGTGTTTAGATTTTTTTTGTACTTAAAAATACATATACTGTATAACAGTAGGGCTGCTCGATTTTGGGAAAAATCATAATCACGATTATTTTGGTCATAATTGTGATCACGATTATTCAAAACGATTATCAGTTGAAGTCAAAATTATTAGCGCTCCTGAGATTTTTTATTTTTTTTATAAATATTTCCCAAATTATGTTTAACAGAGCAAGGAATTTTAACAATATTTCCTAAAATATTTTTTATTTTATTTGTTTTATTTTAGCTAGAATAAAAAAAGGTTTAAATATTTTGAAACCAATTTAAGGTCAATATTATTAGCCCCCTTAAGCAATATATATTTTTGATTGTCTGCAGAAGAAACTACGGTTATACAATGACTTGCCTAATTACACTAAGCCTTTGAATTGCACTTTAATCTGAATGCTTGTATTTTGAGAAATATCTAGTAAAATATTATGTGCTGTTATCGTAGCAAATATAAAAGAAATCAGTAATTAGAAACGAGATATCAAAACTATTATGTTCAGAAATAAGTAAAAAAAAAAATATTTCCATGAAACAGAAATTGGGGAGGAAAAGGGTTGCTAATATTCAGGAGGGCTAATAATTCTGACTTCAAGTGTATACATACAGTTATTTTCCACCCGGCAAAGGAAAGAGAAATAAATACAATAGAATAAAAATATGAAACAAACTGCTTTAAGCATCTTCACTGTAAGAAAAACACTTTAGCTACAGCAGTCCTTCAGTCAAGAGCAGCGAGGGCTTTCTCGTTGTTTGATTAATAATAATAAAAACAGGCGGCAGAAGGATTATAGCGCCCTGTCTCTTTAATAGTTTCTCTTTCACGTCTTTTGATCCTCAACTTGTTTGTTTATTACACAAATGAGGGTTAATATGAATAATCAATAAACACTGCGTTTTGACACCTATTTGACCATTAAAGCGCTCACGTTAAGATGACTTTAGATGTCTGCGCTCCTCTGCTCCTCTCAGTGTGTGAATGAGAGCGAATGCTGCCCGGCCGCATATGCTTCTGACTGCGTGTGCTGGCACACATAAATACGCGCTCTTTCGCGCTTTTAAGAGCAACACGTCGTGTACAACTAGAAAGTGGCGGTATATGATGCAATAATCATTTATCTCGATTAATGCTTTTTTATAATCGTTTGAAGCCGAAATCGAAATCGAATTTTTGATTAATTGCAAAGCCCTATATAATAGTGGAGCATTTTTATGCCTTTTTCTACCTCAACACTTATCCTCTCCCGCGCCCCCCTTGTGAACTCTGGCGCCCCCCTTGGGGGGGCGCGGACCCCAGGTTGGGAACCACTGGTCTAGAGTCTAGCAAAAACAAGCTTTAAAACAAGTCTTGCACAATTATTTAATTTAATTTAATGGTAAATAAGATTATGTTTTTTTATTAATATTTTAAAATACTCACACATGTACTAGTATCTGTATGCCTAATATGTTGCTAAATTACATTAATTTACATTAACCCTGTTGAAAAATCCCGTTTAAACCAGCCGAGGCTGGTTGGCTGGTTTTAGCTGGTCGACCAGGCTGGTTTTAGAGGGGTTTTGGCCACTTCCAGGCTGGTTTCCAGCCATTTGCAGCCTGGTCTTAGCTGGTCAGGCTGGAAAATGACCAGCCAAATCTAGCTAAAACCAACTTGACCAGCCTGGTTTAAGCTGGATATAGCTGGTTTTGGCTGGACTCCCAGCTTGGCTAGGCTGGTCAAGCTGGTTTTAGCTGGTCATCTCCCAGCCTGACCAGCTAAGACCAGGCTGGAAATGGCTGGAAACCAGCCTGGAAGTGGCTAAAACCCCTCTAAAACCAGCCTGGTTGACCAGCTAAAACCAGTCAACCAGCTTAGGCTGGTTTAAGCTGGATTTTTCAGCAGGGCAGAGTTACAGGAACCACAAACATGACAACATACATTCAATTTAAAGTTTGAGGGGAAGCTCAATAGTTTTCTTTACGGCACTGTTTATAAATTACTGGTTGACATTTTTAAGTTTAATCTTTTAAACATTTTGAGTCATTTTAACTTAATTTACATTATATTTACTTATTTAAGATTAAGATATTCAAGACAGAGAGGATAATTGAGATAGAAACATGATTAACTTAGTTTAATAAGCATAAAAGCATGTGTTGTCATGATTTATTGCTCAAATAGTCTTACACATGTCTGACTTTGTTAGTTTTTGTCTTGTTTTTAGTCCAAAAAATCTAAAAGTTCTTAAATCAAGAAGCATTTTCTAGTCAAGTAAAGCATATTGTCTTGTTCTCAGAAATAATGTCAAAATTAAGTGAGTTTTTTTCTTAAAACAAGCAACATTATCTGCCACTGAGGTAGGTAAAGTAAACAATTATTTTTCCTACCCCATTGGTGCATAATTGAGCTTGTTTTAAGAAAAAATCACCTAATTTTGAGTGTAAAACATAATGTTTTATAACAGTGTCTTTATTAGTTATAACCTGGTCTTAAAATGAGCTAAAACAGCTAAAAATAAAATAAACTTATTTTGTTTTTTAAAATTTCCTGAATTACTTAACATAATTATTTCCATTTTGCTTTTTTTAAAAAAAAAAAAAAACGTTTTACTTAGTTTTTTTCATCAACAAGGCATTTGCGCCCACAGAACTCCCGCTCATTGCATATTTTCTCCCATTCTCTGTAAACCCTAGAGATGGTTGTGCGTGAAAATCCCAGTAGATCAGCAGTTTCTGAAATACTCAGACCAGCCCGCCAGGCAGCAACAACCATGCCATGTTCAAAGTAACTTAAATCCCCTTTCTTCCTCATTCTGATGCTTGGTTTTAACTGCAGCAGATCGTCTTGACCATGCCTAAATGCGTTGAGTTGCTGCCATGGGATTGGCTGATTAGAAATTTGCGTTAACGAACAGTTGGACGGGTGTACCTAATAAAGTGGCCGGAGAGTGTGCATTTTTTAATAAAGAAGTTTTAAAAAGTTTCTTTGTTTTGTATATTATCAACTATATGGCTAAAAAAGAAAGTCTAAAGAAAGAAGTGCTTGTCTACCGTGTCAAGAAACAATTTCTACGTCTTTTATTTATTATAATAGGCAGATTGTATTAGGCATATTGTATTTAAAGGGACAGTTCACCCAAAAACAATTTATTTGGTTT